CTTGTAGGCGCTATGCGTTTTACGCCGACCGCTGCTGAACGCACTGTGTTGCACGCAATGCGTGAAGTATTCACGCAGTCTTGTAGGCGCTATGCGTTTCACGCTGACTGCAATGACCGCACAGTGTTGCACGCAATGCGTGAAGTATTCACGCAGTCTTGTAGGCGCTATGCGTTTCACGCTGACTGCAATGACCGCACAGTGTTCGATGCAATGCGTGAAGTATTCGTGCAGTCTTGTGGGCGCATATATGTTTTACATGCCGATCGCCGCGCCGAGGGCTTCTCCCTTTCATCTCAAGTCCTCGTCATCATTTCTCTCTAAGGCGCGCCGTTCCAGGCCAAATTGCGTGTTTGGTTCCTCTCTAAACTCGACTAATTAAAGGTGTTGTCGCTTGTATCACTAAGAGACGACAAAATTAGAAATTACTATACTCTCAGGATTTTGTTGCCTTTCCTCGTTTGTAATTTGTTTTTCTAAATCCGATTTTGTTTTATACCTACACTTAAAAAAATTGCAAATTTTTACCGCCCCTTAGATTTGTCACCATGGGCCGCGGCCCATGTAGCCACCCCCTTAATCCGGCCCTGATGAAACTAGCGACCAAGTCTAGCCGTTAAGAAAATCGTTGTTAAACTCCGTTTTTGGGATTTTTCGGCGTGTTCCTGACTCGAGGCATTTCGAAAGGGCAATTTTTCATTTTGGCTTTGGCCCCTAAGAAATCTGAGATGGTCTGTAAGAAGAAAAGTTGCAGGCCAGATGGCTGCTAAGACTTCATGCCTAGTTTCAAACACTGCTGGTGCGTCGATTGTTGAGTGTGATTTTGAGAAAAACCAGGTATCACCTCGACAAAGTTCATAATTACTCAGGACCGCGTTGGCTGAAGAAAGTTTGAACTGACGTGTTAAAAAGTAATAACGAAGTTTTTAAGACAAATCATAACCATGTAACAACGATATCGAGATTTTGCTCGGAATAATTACCATCTCAGCTCTCCAAAAAGTTCTTTTGAAGAACTCATGCACTGGAGTCGACAGTAGCATATTATGAGTTATCCGGTTATTACTACTAACCAGAAAATCAGCTAACAGAAACTTGAGTCTTCAATTTATGAATGACTCGGAGCTTGAGTTTTATTCAGCAGTGAAGGTTCTTTGTTGATTTCTCGTTGTGGATGAGTCTTAGCTACCGATTTTTAGCACGTGTCAAAATATTTAGCCTCTCATTTTTATGCCATTTACATTTACTCTTCCTAATCATATATTTGATTACCTTTCATCGCATCCACGTTTTCCCTCGATTCTACGTTTGATTGAAAATTCAAATTTTCCGTCACTTTTGTAGGAGATATGAAGCTTTGAAGAGCACCCAAGAAAATTTTCCACTGTGTACCTTATTTCCTCGACAGGTTAAAATATTCCATGATCCTTTCTCATGCCTAGCAATCGCAATCATACACCTAGCCGCGGTTGATTAGCTGATCGCGTGCCGTCGAATGTTTACTATGCTCGTCCTATTTGAGTCATCGGCGAGCGTAAAAATAACACTATACACGTATCATCGCTGTGTAACAATGTAGAACACGGGCATCGTATCAAACTTCCTATGAAACCTTTCCAAGCGTCATAATGGCGTCATGTTAAGAAAACACGTGTGTTAATAAGAAAACAAAATTCGAAATATCAGAATTTTGTCTGGAACCTTCTTTCATATCTTTTAACGTCCAATTGACGCAACACGTTACTTGGGTGAATTTCTTCAACAGAACAATCAGGGTCCATCTCCATATCTATCGACGATTCTCGAATGTTGGCAACACTGTTTTGCCTCCATTTAAATACATGAAAAACAATCGATTGTTGGTGAGGCAGCTTGCCTCACCTAAATTCGATACTTTCAATGGATTTAAATGGAGGATAAGCAGTGTCACCAACTTTCAAGAATCGCCCGTGTATGTTGCAGGCAAATTGTCGAATCAAGCTATTTCTCAAATGCCCGGGCAAATGGTCAAACATTCTTACCTATATTGAAATTCTAATTCTCTTGCTAATTTTAACAAAATAATGCATTGCTTACGCAAGAAAGGAATCTCTGTAGAAATTTGCATCATACGATGATATTTTAAACTGTCGTGAACAAAAATGTATGTTAAAATTGTATAATTAGATGTAAAATTGTTCTACGTCACAAAGCACAGAATTTATAAAAATTTACCTTCAAAATTTTATGAGAAGCATGTAATCAGGAAGAAACAAGGGGAGTTCGTAGATCTGGTGAGTATTTTTTCCCGAAATATTGAAAACTCGCACGCTTTTGATCACGAATTTCCGAAATTCCATAAATTGTCAAAATTTGTCTACCTATCTGCCTAGGCCTTTGATAAAATGTCTGATTTTGACTTTTTGCCTGCGACTCGTAGGAAGAATTACTACAATGAGCACCACAAGCAGTTTTGCAAATATGAGACGTTTGTGCCATAATTTTCATGTCTGTGCCGTATTATTGTATAGGAATTGCAGATGAAACCGAGGTGAACATACACCGTAACCGTACGAACAATACATAAACCTGGTTTTTCGACCTTTTTTGGAGTGAGGTTTTCCAAGAGGGGGAAATTAATTTTGCGATTGTGACCTATCTTTGCTCCCAAGCATTGTCAGAAAATGGTTTTCCGCGCGCCATGAAAAGAGGACAGCCCGAAGGAAAATGAAAAAAGACATATAATTGTACATTTTTTGGATCATACTAATTACGACCTCCATTCCAAAATTGTACATTCAGAACTATTTTCCTCGACTCTCAGGCGAAAACGTTTCGCTCACTTTCCCGACCAGGGAAAGCTAGCCGCCATGCTTGCAATTAGTTTTAAAGGGAGACGCGAATTATTTGCATTTTTCCAATTTTCCCCGTGTTATTTCCTCTCAATATAGACCCGTTCAATCACTCTTGCCATTCGATGTCTCAGGCTACTGCACAAAAATTGCGTTGCGCTCATTCACATCTCAAGTGCCGCCATGCACGAGCCAACGTTGCATAACTTTATTTTTACGTGAGCCCTGAAAAGCGTAGAGTCATATAAACAGTAGGGCTTACTTCTACAAAATAGTAACGTTTTCTTGTAAGAGGATGGAGCGACAACATGCCGGCTTGCACCGGTTTGCTGTCGTTGACTCTCGAAACTAATAACTATTGGGATAGGTCGTTTGGAAGCGCGCTACCGAGTTGCCAAGATTAGCTATCCGAGCTGTTGTAGTGTCTCCCGGGTGTGTCGTGCTGATTTGATTTATTTTTATCGCAGCTTTTTGATACAATGTCAACGTCCGATGAGACCATTTGATTCGATGAATATTTTGTCGACATCTTTTTATTCGCGCAATAGATCTTTTACTATTTTGTGTCCTCGCTGGAAAAAAAAAAAACCACATTGGATCCAGAGTCCAGACTCTTGAAAACATTGACAAGAAAAAATACTCTTGATTCAATCGGATTTTTGCTTGAATCAAAACGAAATCCGCTTAAATAAAGAGGCTTGATTCTTGATTTAAGCTAGATTCTGATTGAATCAAGAGAACTTTTTCTTGTCGATGTTTTTAAGAGTCTGGACTCTAAATCCAATGTGTTTTTTTTTTTTTTTTTTTTTTTTTTTTTTTTTTTTTTTTTTTTTTTTTTTTTTNTTTTTTTTTTTTTTTTTCCAGTGCTCGCAATCCCCGCTTGTAATTGTGAATCAACCTATACTCTATTCCAATGACCTGATCTCGTTCTTGGCTGTACAACCTATATGAGGTTCGCTTAATTTCTGCGTGGTTGCCGCAATCAGGGAATACCGGGAAACACAGGAAATGTTCGGGAAAATGACGAAAATTTTAGGGAAAACGTGTTAAATCACCTTTACTTGCTTTCTAGAACGAGTTTGAGGTTTCAAAAAACAAATTTGGCCTAAAAACTATTTTCAATCATGCCTTCTTTACCACCTGTCATTTCTTCAAATGTCAGGGGATTTCACCAAAATGTGTCTGGGAAATCAGGGAAATGTCAGGGAATTTCATTTTCTAATTTCTGTGGCAACCCTCTCTCTGTCAATATAATTTTATCTGTGTAGATGTGGGTGTAGCCGTAGATGATAGGTAGACAGATCTACAGATTATGTGAAGAATGTAGGATGAAAAAAGCCTTTTCGACTTTCAGAGAACCGCAAAAAAATAACTTTTTCCTAAAGTTAAGACCAGTCATGCAGTGGGATTAGGCTTAAAAATGTCGAAGTTCAAGTCGATATAAATACGCATCAGATTTCCAGAAGGAAAAATGCGTGACTTTTTTAACGTAACTTTTTTAAATCATTATCAATTTCACCAGGATTTATGCTCTTCTGATCCTATGCAATTACTCTTTACAGGCGTATAATTTTAGAATTTATTTTTGAAGGACACAGTAAATATTATAGAAGCATATTATAGAATCCTCTTGCAATAAGGACCTTTGAGTAAATACATTTTTTTTTTTCACTTATACACGGAAAAAAAGCATGAAGTTGATGGATGATATGCACATTACACATGTCCAATTATTTGTGGTAGTACCCCAATGAATTATGGTAGCACCCAAATTAATTATGGTAGTACCCTAATAAATTAGGTAACTAACCCAAATTTTGCGGTACTAACCTAACTTGAGTTGCGGTACTAATACAATTAATTAGAAATGTCCATATCATCCAACAAATTGGAGTAGTACCACAATTTTAGGGGATAACCCCTGACACTTTTTTTTCCGTGTACTAAATTTTTTTAAAGTATAAACTCTCCACTAGACCCCTAAAATCGTATTTTTGCCAATTCCTTTTCACTATGAATGCGGCTTAAAAGCCTTATTCATTAGTTCTCGGCCTCATTTTCGTCATAAAGTGTCTTGTGCCCTTGTGCCCTTTTAATCCTATACGGCTTCATGTATAAATTACAGACATTTTCTCTGTATCACTTATCTATGTATTTATTTCTGTTTAGGTTAGGTAATGAATAATTGGTCTTTCCCGCCTAACGATGGTCTGTACGACTCGTCGCTGGAGAAGGAGGCTTGTGGAGTTGGGTTCATCGTCGCCATCGACGGCAAACGATCTCACAAGGTAAGCTCACCACTCACCACAGATTAAAATGATCAAATCACCTGAATTATCACGAGAATAGCGCCACAACCTCCAATCATTCAGCGCTACTTTCAGTAATAATAACAGACACAATGATTTCAATCGGACATCATGTTCCTTCCCATTGAGGTTTTCAAATGCAAATATTTTCTCTCGATAATTTTATTTTCTCTTAGGCATGTCAATTGCCAAGGCGCACTATGCCGTTGAGAGTGCCAAAGAGTTTGGAATCTGGATCCTGAGACTTTTTTCCCCAATTTGGCAAAAACTACTATGTTGTAAAGGACGGTCTCAAAAATAGCAGAATATACATATCGACGGTGTAAGTCGCAACCACGTGTCTTGTTTGCGGTGTTTGTAAATCTCCGCTTCTATATTTTTCTTTAAAGGAGAGCAAATATTGACATTATTCCTTGAAGTTTTTGCAGAATTTTCTTCGCACAGGGAAGAAAAATCACGGCAGTTTTAAAGAATGGAGATGTTGCATATGTGAGGAATTTGCGATTTGACTGTTGATAATTAAGTAAAAGTTAGCGAGAAACACGATGGTGCTACTGGTTTTCTCTGAAATCATCTTCCAAGCTCAAAAACAGCTCTCAAGTTGAAGCCAAAATGGAGGGGATATCCCACCCTATCCTGAGAGTCCACTTCTACTTTAAAACAAACTCTCCATGCAAAGATAGGGAGCAAATACATTAGCAGTGATGCCGTGTTTTCAGTTTTTGAGTCCTCGAAAAAAGTGGCAGCCCTGTCAATGTATTTGCTCCCTATTTGTCTTGATGTAGAGGTGGACTCTCAGGATAGCGTGAGATATCCCCTCCATTTTGGCCACAACTTGAGAGCTTTTTTTGAGCTTGGGAGTTACTTTCAGAGAAAACCAGTGGCCACATCGTGTTTCTCGCGAACTTTTACATAAGAATCAACAGTCAAATCGCAAATTCCGCACACATGCAACATCTCCATTGACGTCGAGTAGTTTTCCATTTAAAAAATAAAGTATGACAGGAAGTCTGTGACGTCGCAAACCAAGATACGTGGTCGCGGACTTACACCGCACCGTCGATGTGTGAGTATGAGTTCGTGTAACAGGGGTGTGATGAGTATTGCTACATGAGACAGCGTTCAAGTTTAAATTTTACATGTTCCTCCTGAAGGATGTAGAAGTTAAGTGTGCGCAAATATGTTTTTTGGCGAGTTCAAACAGTCGTAACTGATAAAGGCGTGCCTCACTTCTTATCAGGAATAAATTTTGCTTGTATTGTTGTATCGTATCGTACACCGCATGGGCGCCGCGCCGGCCGGCGCACACTGTGGTATTTGACCGAAAAACCTGGCCAAAACCTCAATTTTAAATTTTTTTTTTTTTGGAAAACCAATGTGATATTCGAAATCTACACCGTTTTTTACCCCAGTAGCCATGTATGTGCCATTTTTCGAGTGGCTCAATTTCCCGCGAAGAGACAACGAAGTTACCTATTTCTCAGCGATTTTTTTGATATGTTTAGACGCGCTACTCGTCGATCAGTTTACTTCAACTGTGCGACCATGGGAGGGAAGTTCGGCGATATGCAACACATTCTTAAGGGTATATTCTACACAACTAACCACGGTATTTTCGAAATTTCTTTTTTTAGTGATTTTGACAGGAGGTTGAAAAGTGATGTAAAAGTAAACGTTTTTTTCGAATTTCACAGTCCGATTAAAAATTTCTCTCAACTGTTCTCAAGCGGTTTCAGGCGGAATGTTATAGTCCGAAGTGGGTATTTTCAGGATTCAGGGTCGACAGACTGAGGAAAACTGAGGAAATTGAAATTTTTGACTTCAAACATGGACTTTTGAGCGATTTTCACTAACATGAATGGGAAAAATTATGTCGATGCTAACGACTGAAATTGTATTTTTCCAACAGCTCTGACCCATTTAGTACCAATTGGGTGAAATTCGGTCACGCAACCTGTTTCTTTGGCCCCTACGCCCTCGAAAGAGGGATATAAAAAAAAAATTTGAAAGCGGATGGGAGGGTCACTTTAAAGTCTTGCAAAAGTGTTGAATCCGTTATCTGACAATCTCTTCGTGCATTATCCTTGAGTATAGACATATTTATGCCATGATTTACTCTGACAGACTTTGAGTCCATGCGGCCCCGGGGATGGGGCTTTAAAAGTGGCCCTCTGGCACCATGAAATTATGCTGTGAGGCACATTTGAAGCCTCGTAAAAGTGAGATATGTGGTTTTCTTACGAATTTCGTAGTGAAGTGCCTCACTTTGAGATGTGGACCATGGGTTAGGAAGGAACCCATCAAAATGAATCATTTTCACAGGTGCTTTCTGTCCTTACAATGGTTCTTATTATGATAGAACTCATTTTCATCTTATAATTTATCCTCAAATCATCATATGGAGGTCCCGGCACGTTCATTCTAGCACTAATTTTGATTCAAAACTGTCAAAAATCTTATATCTAAAATGATTCATATTAATTTTTTTGAGAAATGTACAATTACTCCTCAATGTGAGAGATCGGCTGTTTCGTCAAAAATTTTGAAGTGACTTACGCTGTTTTAAAAAAAAACCATTAATGAGGTAATAGAAAGTCCTTATCTCGAAAAGTAGACCATAGGTGAAGGAGAAACTCGTCTAAATGCACCGCTTCAGTTAGATTCTTTGCGTCCTTTTAAAGACTTTTTGGAGGGCTTCTTGCACCCTCTTTAAACTCTCCGCAAATTGTCATATGATGTGTTAGGTGGTTAAATTGTGCATATTATAACTTAAGAAGAAGTACTAGTTGTAAAATATTTTTAAAACTCGGCGATATCTGGTGATAAATAGTTTTGGCCAGCTTTTCAGGTCCAATACCACAGTGTGCGGCGATGCGTACTGGTTACGGGAGACATCGGAATCACTGCAACGAAGTATATATTTTTTTTCCCGGTGAATTCCAGTGAGGTGGCTCTAGTTAGAACTAGTTCAAGCACATCCCACGTTACCTAATTTCCTTTTACTTTAATTTTTTTTCTACGAACAACGAAGTTAATAATATTCGGTCTTGAAACTTCCGAGTTTATATTCCTTGTGATCGAGGAAAAATCATACTGACTTCTAAGGCATTATGTCGTTCGATTTTCGAATAAAAAAATTCAAATTTCATACGAAAAAGGGGGTTTTAAAATGAGGAGACTATTCAAATAATGGGAAGGCTAACATTCAGAATGGAGATATTGCATGTGTGAGGAATTTGCGATTTTACTGGTGATTCTTTTGTATAAGTTCGCAAGAAACACGATGGTGCCACTGGTTTTATCTGAAATCAACTCCCAAGTTCAAAAAAAGCTCTCAAAGTGAGGCCAAAATGGAGGGGATATCTCACCCTACCCTGAGAGTCCACGTCTACATCAAGACAAACTCTCCATGCAAAGATAGGGAGCAAATACATTGACAGGGCTGCCACTTTATTCGGGGACTCCAAAACTGAAAACACGGCACTTCTGCTAATGTATTTGCTTCCTATCTTTGCATGGAGAGTTTGTCTTGATGTAGACGTGGACTCTCAGGATAGCGTGGGATATCCCCTCCATTTTGGCCTCAACTTGAGAGCTTTTTTTGAGCTTGGGAGTTGATATCAGATAAAACCAGTGGCACCATCGTGTTTCTCACGAACTTGTACTTACGAATCAACAATCAAATCGCAAATTCCTCACACATGCAACATCTCCATTTTCTGCATTCCTGTGAAGAACCACTCCACTAGGCTGGATGGTGGCGCTACAAAATTATATACAAGTACCGCCCTCATTGTAAAGCTTTTAGAGCGTGTATCCGTCTCTACCCCGCCTCATAAAAAACCACGCCTGGAAACGCGTCGAGCGTATGGATTTTCCCGGCCTCATTTTGCGTCCGAGCCCTGTAACTGGCGAACATTACAGGCCCGGCGCGTTTGATCCAGTCTCTCTTGGTTTCACGATGAAAAAGTTTTCGCGCAAGAGGCCCGGAGAGGGGGGGGGCGTACTTTGACGTATAGGGAAAGGCGCGCGGGAAAGGGGCCAGGAAAAATCGACGAATAACCCAACCAAACCGTCCCCCACCCTGATCCTTGAGCGATACTAAACCGTCCGTGGATCGAGAGAAGAGATAAAAGTTGGGAGCTTTCTGGCGGAAGGGGTAAAAGCTTGGTTGAGGAGAGGGGAGAGGGGTGGCAGTGGCGCTACTTGGTGGTGGTTTGGAGTCCATGCCGGCAACCCCGAATGATGTCCGTGCGATCAACAAGCTGTTCGCCCCGTGACCCCCGCCCCCCGAATATGACCTCTAGTTCTCCGGAAAACTACTCTCGTTGCTGCGATGTATCTGCAGGCCTCGTTTCGCAGAAGATAACCGATTTTGGAGAAACCAGGATTTTAATCTTCGCTTGGTTCGAAAAAATTTACATCTGAGTTAATTAAAATAATTTGAAACTTTCTTCTCTTTGATAATAATCGTACTACTTTTTGCAATTCGGAACGACGATTTCTGGCTCAGTTAAGAAGCAACGTATGTACCACTAGTTTCCACCACTAGTTAGCCACTATTAGTTGTAGTGTGCCACTATGCGCATTTAAACGGAGGAGAAAGACTGTCGCCAATGGAGATGTTGCATGTGTGAAGAATTTGCGATTTGACTGTTGATTCTTATGTAAAAGTTCGCGAGAAACACGATGGTGCCACTGGTTTTCTCTGAAATCAACTCCCAAGCTCAAAAAAGCTCTCAAGTTGAGGCCTAAGTGGAGGGGATATCCCACCTTACCCTGAGAGTCCAGGTCTACATCAAGACAAACTCTCCATGCAAAGATGGGGAGCAAATACATTAGCAGTGATGCCGTTTTTTCAGTTTTGGAGTCCTCAAATAAAGCGGCAACCCTGTCAATGTCTTTGCTCCCTATCTTTGCATGGAGAGTTTGTCTTGATCTAGACGTGGACTCTCAGGGTAGGGTGGGATATCCCCTCT